GAGAGAGAGAGAGAGAGAGAGAGAGAGAGAGAGAGAGAGAGAGAGAGAGAGAGAGAGTGATTCGTACCATAAAGTCTGCAGAGGAAATCAACGGCCTCGTGGATATTTTTTGTGTCCGTTCGCAGCATGCTCATGCATGCAGCTCCAAATGCTTTCACCCACTCTTCTCTTCCTTCTTTTCCTACCCGGTTTTCCCAGACGTCGATTTTGCGCAACTCCTGAAGCAAATGGAGGCAATCATTCAACTTCCGCTTTCGGATAAGGTTGGCCAATTGGACCTTCATGGAATCCACCACGCATCGAGCAGATTCTGCCTCTATCTTCACTCCGAGTCGTTGCATCGATGACAGAACAGCCACACACCTCATGCCCTCTCCTCTTCTGGCCATACGTGCACAACCATCGGCAAGTGACGCCGACAACGCCTCCGCGCACACAATCAGCTCCCCATCGCCATCGACCCCTTGACGGCAAAAAAAAAAAGACGAAGAAGACGAAGAAGAAGGAGAAGAAGGAGAAGAAGGAGAAGCAGAAGAAGAGAGTAGAAGTAGGCAGTCTTCTAGCCTGTCTGCTGCAATGAGGGAGCGACACGTGTCAGCTATGTCAGCTAAACACAATGCTGGAGAGGGAACCTGCACTACGTTTTCTGGAGATGACGGGGCTCGAACCCCCGACCTCTTCCTACGACCGGTAGGAGTCTCATCTCCGAGCACGTCGCCTTCTTCCTCTCCCTTTATCTTCATCCCAACCTCTCTCTCGATCACAGCTGATTGCCCCACGCAATCAATGCCCGACAGCAGAGTCACGATGTCCCCTCCGTGAGCCATAGCTACTTTGCTAGCTAGCTTGTGATCCCCATGCAGTCCGACATTCTTCGACGTCAACGTCGAAGACGAAGACGAAGACCTTCCATCGCCATCACCGTCTTCTTCTTCTCCCTTTTCGGTTTGTAAAGCAATTACGCCAGCGCTTCCAAGCTCGACGGGTGCTGCAGATTCCTTGCTCTCATCAGGATTCGAGCCGTCGTCGATCACAGAATCCGGTCCACATTCATTCTTTGAAGAATCGCTCGTAACGGTCGTCTTTACGGCAGAAGACGCTGTGGGGACCACCACTGTGACACCGTTAGCCTGCCGCTCCACATTGCTCCGGCCTCTTTTCATCCGTTGCCCGCGACGTGGCCCGCTGACACGTGCTCCAGATCCCGACGTGGCATTCCCAACACCCCCCCCCCCGCGGGCCATCCATCCGACGCTCCGACTCCCATCGTCGTCAGGAGCATGATGACGACGATGATGAATGATCACGGCGCGCAGCGCGCATGCGCAACTACTCGTACTACTACCGGCAGTAGTATTCCTCTCTCCCCCGCCCCCCCCCCTCCCCCCCAGCCCCTTCAGCAGCAAAACACCATCATCCCGATCCCGACGCCGCCGCTCGTTCCCCGCCGACCCATGTCTGAGATCCCCGCAGCAGCAGAACGAGATCGGGCGACAGCAGACGGAACGGAATCCGGCGACGGCAAACGGAACGGAGGACGTCTTGCTTTCGCTTCTTCTTGTCGTTGTCCTTCCGGTGGATTTCAAAAAACTGCTGCTTGTTGTTGTTGTTGTTGTTGTTCTTGATGCTATTCTATAATTAGCCGTTCCACATGTAGCACAACTATTGCTGAGTCCGCCGCTGCCGCCCCACGGTGTGGCGATGGCGGCTTCGTTTTGCATGCGCACCGCCGTCCCCCCCCACGATCCCTGGCTGCGGAATTGCATTCTCATTTTCAAATGACATCCGGCCGACGTCGAAGACGAAGATAAAGAGTCTGTTGTCGTCAATTTTTTTTATTTTTTTTGGGAGAAGGTGGGGAGGTGGCGGGGGGGGGAGTCAACTTGGTATTTACAAGCCGGGAACTTGATGCTCAATACTTAAACCAACCGCTGAGGCGCAGTGACGATGTTCTTTCAAGGATGAAAGTACGAGGTCGGCTCCACCATTCCTTGCGGTAATGCATATGAGGGAACTAAGCGCCTGCAGACTCTGAGAGGCTTTTCGAAAAGGTGCGGGGGGGGGGGGGGGGGGGGGGGGGGGGAGGGCGGGGCGGCGGAGGACACGAAACGGAAAAAAGGACACGCTATCATGCTTCACTGCACGCACACGCTCTAAGACACCTTTTTCTTCTTCTCCCGGCAGACGATCCCGCTACTACCCCTCTTACTGCTCTCTCTCTCTCTCTCTCTCTCTCTCTCTCTCTCTCTCTCTCTCTCTCTCTCTCTCTCTCTCTCTCCACACACACTCTGCACGCCAAAGCCGGCTCATGTCCGACGAGACGGTCTCTTACAACCGAGCATTTCGGCTACAATCGCAAAGGGACAAAAAGAAAGGAAGGACGAGAGAGAGAGAGAGAGAGAGAGAGAGAGAGAGAGAGAGAGAGAGGGCAAAGAGAAGGAGAGAAAGAGACAACTGAGAGAGAGAGGACAATGCACGACCGAAATACCGGGAAACTATTGAAGGAGAGCGATGGTTGGCCAGCGGGGTGGCTCTCTGTACAGTATCACTGACAGGCTGACAGCACATGAGTGAGCGGCACGAACTTGAGCCAGCGGCAAGCAAAGGCTTCCTTGTCACAAACACGACGTATGCCTGGATGACCCCTGTAATTTTCAGACAGACAAACCAAGCCGTCCCTCTTCCCGGGGCCCGGTCGCTGGCCGCTGGTCGCTGGTGTCTGTGCGAGCGTGGGTCGCTGGTGTCTTCCCGGCGTCCGGTCGCTGGCCGCTGATCGCTGGTGTCTTTCCGAGCGTGGGTCGGTCGTCACATGCTAACCAACCGACCGATTGGGTTGGGTGGGTTCTGACCAGCCGCAAACGGTGACCACGTCGCCCAGCCGCCGATCGGTCGCCCAGGTGACCTTGTCGCCCATCGGGTCGATGCCGACCGGTCGTTGGGGTGACCTTCTGGCCATCGGTCGGTAATCAATGTCACTGAAGGTGACCTTCTGTCGGTCGTTGGCTGTGTCGGACCATGGGTTCGAACTCCTCCCTCTGGGGCGAGGTCCCATTAGCAGTCGGATAGGAGTGTGGCCGATCCAGTGTGACACTGAGTGGCAGCCGCCCGACAGGTTCATTACGAATTTCTGGGCTGAGAAAACAGGAGAAACGCAAAAAAAAAAAAAAGAAACAGAGACCTCCCACCGAAAATCACGGCAGAGTGCTTCCCGATGGTGGTGGTTGCATCAGCAGTGAACAAAGTAACCGCCACATTTGCTGGAATAAACTTGACTTCTGTCCGCACTGATCCTGACACCCTCCATATACTCCGTGATTGAAGGAGCGCTCCACCCAATGAGATAATTGCGCAACAGCAAGTAAAATACTGAAAATCTTCTATCCAGTGGGCTAAGGCCGATCCCACCCTCCTTTGGGGTTGCTCTTACCCCCAACAGATAGAAAAGATTCTGGCGGGAAGCTTTCTTTGCACGGGCATGCCCAGTGTTAAGGAGAGGAGGAGGGGAACGAAGCTCTCCTAATTTTTTCGGGTAATACAAGTAAAACACTGACCGTGGGATCACGACTACTGCACGGCAGGATTGGGGTCGCTCAACTGCCCCACAAACTCGTTTCTATCCTATCCCGCTGCTAGTGGACCTCGCCCCTGGCCATCGGTCGGTAGTCATTGTTTTTTTTGTTTTTGTTTTTTTTGTTTTTTTTGTTTTTGTTTTTTTTTTTGTTTTTTTTTTTGTTTTT